TTCATCTGAATTGGCCAAATTATGTATATACATACATAAAGAGTTTGTAGTAGCAATATATTCAATTCTACAGGTAAACAGGAAGCAACAGGGAAAGAGGAGAATAAAAGGGAGGGTAGATTCAGGAAGGGATTAGTCATTAAGAAAACAAATCCTTAGCATGGAAGGAACAATCATAAAGAAGGATTTAAAACTAAAATTTGAAGAAAGGCTAAGAATCTGTGATAAAGAGGGGGTAGGGAGCAAAGGGAGGAAAAAAGTATAAAAGAATAGTATAGAGAGGAAGACACAGTTAATGATAATTGTGAATGTGAATGAGATGTACTCACCTACAAAATGGAAGAGGATAGCAGAATGGATTAGAAAGCAGAATCTAATAATATGTTATTTAAAAGAAACACACTTGAAATATAGAGTTAAAATAAGAAGATGTAGCAAAATCTATTATGCCTCAGCTGAACACAAAAAAGCAGGTGTAGCAATTATGATTTCAGTCAAGGCAAGAGGAAAAAGAGACTTTAGTTAAAGGAGATAAAAAAAGAAACTGCATTTTGCTAAAAGGATACCCTATATAGTGAATTAGATTCAATACTACACGTATATATATATACCTGTATATATATATGTATGTATGTATGTATACACATACACACCCCAAATGTCATACCACCAAAATACTTAAAGAAAAAGAATAAAAGCATAAAACATTGCAAACATTTACAAAACAATGCTGTTAAACACATTTATTACCACAATTGAACAAAAATTATTTTAAATAAAGGGCTATTGAAGAAAAGATTAAAAATCAGTGGGCAATTAAATAACTTAATCCTGGAGAACTGGTGGTTCAAAGAACAAATTATAGAAATGATACATAGATGCTGACAAAAATACCAAAATTCTGGGGATTTATCTAAAGCATTTTTAGGGGAAAATTTATATCTTTAAACCATTTCATCAGCAAAAGAGAGAAAGAACAGATCAATGAATTGGGTAGCAATTAAAAAAAAATAAACTGAAAGTTAATCAACTAAAAACATAATGAAACACTAAAAAGAAAATTCTGAAAAATAAAAGATGAACAATATTGAAAGGAAAATAAATTTCCAGTTCTTTGTATTGGTAAAGATCTGGAAATGAAAGAAAGTACCCATCAGTTGGGGAATGGCTGAACCAATTATGGTTCATGATAGATACTATTATGTTAAAAGAAATTAAGAAAGTGATGGTTTCAGAGAAAACTGGGTAAGACTTGTATGAACTGATGCAAATGAAGTGAAAAGAATCAGAATAATTTACACTGTAATTCCAATATTATAAAAATGAACAATTCTGAAAGACTTTAGAACTGTGATCAGATCAGCCAGGATTTCAGAGGACCGATGATAAAGAAAGCTGTCCATGTCTTGACAAGGGAGTGGGTAGACTAATATGCAGAATGAGTCACATTTTTGTATGTGGCTCATGAGGGAACTTGTTTTAATCGACTATGCTTGTTTGTTACAAGGGTTTTGTATTTTTCTCCCCTCTCTCAAATTGGGCATGAAATAGAACTGAGGCAAAATACTTGATGATTGAAAAATAAAAGCATTTTTAAAGGGGAGAAATAAAGAAAAAATTAAAAATGCCTAGAATAGAATGGAAAGAAGTTCATAAGGAAGCATAGGTTGTTTTAAAAAGACTATGAAATTTACTATTTGCTTAAAAAAAAAAAAGAAGCGAGCCATATGAGCCTTACGTACAATCCTCATCTGCTGTGTATATGGAAATTCTAATTTAGTGTGTGGGGGAGTGTTAAATTCAGAATAAATAATGTTTTGGGGTTTTGCTTTTTTAGAAAATAAATCCAAAGAAATAATCAACAAAACAAAACAGTAGAAAATAAAATTGTAAGATGACATAGACCCAAGTGGAGGAAAAAAAAAAACCTCAGTAATAACTCCATTGATATTCTATGTATCTTGTCTTTAAGATTGATCTATTTTGCTTGCATTATTGTTGTTTAATTGTTTTAACTGAGTACAACTCTTCATGACCCCATTTGGGGTTCTCTTGGCAAAGATACTAGAGTGCTTTGCTATTTCCTTCTCCAGTTCATTTTACAAATGAGAAAACTGAGGCAAACAAGTTAAGTGACTTGCTCAAGGTTAAAGTGTCTGAGGCCAGGTTTGAACTCAGGTGTTAGGGAGAAGTATGAGGGGTCATGGGTATCAGAGAAAATGCCTAGTCAGCTATCTCATTGCTCATGTGACTCAGAAGTCAATTCTAACTCCATTGCTACTTGGGAAATGTCTGTGCAAAACATCACAAATGAATATAATGAAATATTCTGATTGACCATTTGTTATCTATGTTGTAGAGAAAATTCTAGATCAGGTACAAGCCAACTTGCTTCTAATTATCTTCTTTATTTCTTTCAAACTCTGAAATGCTGAGAGGTCCAAAAATTAAGAAAATTATCAAAGATAAGGGACAGTAATAACAACCTTGTTTAAAAATTTGAGAACATGAAATAAATTGATGATTATTTATAAAAGTTTTAAATACCCAAATCAACAAAGCAAGTGGATAACCAAAATAGCCAAATCTCAGGTGACATCAAATAAACTATTGAAGGGCTCCCCTACAGAAAAATTATCAGGTCCAAATGGATTCATAAACAAATTCAGGCAATCATCCAAAGAACAAATAACATGTCTGCCTGTCTATCTCTTTTATTATGAACTTGAACATTAGCAAACAATATATTAAAAAAATTTTTTTAAAGGGGATGGTTTTGTTTGTTGGTTTGAGTGGATCCTAAAAAAGATTATGAAATGTTTAAAAAGGACCTATTTGTACAAAAATATGCATAACTAGGTGGCACAATGGATAGATTTCCAGCCCTGGAGTCAGGAAGACTCATCTTCCTGAGCTCAAATCTAACCTCAGACACTTACTAGCTGTGTGACCCTGGGCAAGTCAGTTAACCCTGGTTGCCTCAGTTTCCTTATCTGTAAAATAAACTGGAGGAGGAAATGGCAAACTATTCCAGCATCTTTGCCAAGAAAATCCCAAATAGGATCACAAAGAGTCAGGTATGGTTGAAATGGCTGAATAACAACAACAATGCATAGCTACTTTATTTGTAATGGCCACCCCCACCTCAAATGGCACAGCCCACATGTCTAATGATTGATAATGGCTAAAAAAATTATATTAATGTAATGGAATAGTATATTAGGTGAAAATGATAAACATACAAACTTATATGAAGTGATCCAAAGTGAGATTAGCACAACCAAAATAATAAATATGAAGACTAAAAACTGTGTATAACTTCACTATATTGATAATAATAACAATAGCTAACATTTAGATGATATTTACTATGTGCCAGGCACTGTTCTAAGCACTTTACAGTTGTATATATGCCATATATATAGTATGTATATACATATATATGTGTAATTAATGTTAACATTATATATTGATATCATTATAACTATATCATAATAAATATGAAGATTTGATTTTATAGATATAATTGTAATAAATATTATAATAAATACAAATATTTATTATACCACCATCAACATATAATAGTGATATATTTACATTCAAAATATTTATAATTTATTAATATATAATAGACTGTTATATGTTTATATCATATAACATATATGCACATACACATATGCATGCATAGTATATGTGTGTATATATGTATGTGTGTATATACATACATACACACACATATATAAAAAAACCAATTAGATGGATTCAGAAAGGGACCCAGAAAACTTATTTTTCGTTTGTTAATTTTTGGATTCTATGTATGCTATAATGTTTTTGTTTTACTTATGATTTTACTCGTTAATTTTTATGTTCACTGAACAATGTGTTTTTGTTGATGGTCACATTTGCAATACACAAATAAATTATGTAATGTAATAGTGAAATTTATAATATGAAATAAGGACTATCCTTTAGCTAGCCTGAAAATTCCCAGCAGCTTTTATATTAAACATTCTATATGGGCAGACCTTTTAAAGGAATTGGAGATTTTTTCTTTATCTTAACATAGAGATGTATACAAGGCAGATATATTGACAGCAGAACCTTGTTTATTTGCTTTGCATTTATATTCCCAGATCAGTATTTCTTGTTTTTTTTTTGTTTTTTTTTTTTTACATAACAGATACTTTAAAGGTGTTTGTTGAATAGAGGAAGTCACTGGAGAGGTTATCTGGGTCTACTATCAGCTTGATCCCTGAATCTACATCATCTTTGACTAATAGAGGTCTAGCCCTAGTCTCTACTGAAAACCTGGCAAAATATATCTAACAATTATAGCCATGACTGGGCCCAAGGGGTTGTGACTCTGTACCCTCCTCCCTCTCCACTAAGGGGCCCTATACGGACACATTGACCAGGTTCAGTCCTAAGGGAACCTGACTTCTAATGAGATAGATTAGGTTCATTTTCTCATGTTTTTTGGCATTTTACACTCTGAACCAAGGGGCAAATTACTTGAAGCTTAGGTTTGGCCTCATGTCTAGTGTCTCCACAAAGCAGGGAGTAGAAAGACACTCCATGGATAACATGAACAAGATATGAGACAGCTATCTATTTCCTTTACCAAAGGAAATACTGAACAGAAAAACTCACATATGCCTTGACAGGAAAACTTAAAGAAGCAACAGTAATCATTCATATCACTTAAAAAAGCAAGAGTAATTACTGTTACAATTAGTGGCGTGCTGGACCAACTTGTAATGGCTAACCAGAGCCGATTGTTAAATTTTCAGGATTTTTTGAGCCAGTGTTTTCAAAAGGCACAGTTCCATTTTCTCCTGCACTAGTAATGTTACTTGTTGCTTCAAAAAAAATTGGTGCCAACCACAGCAGGTTATATTTCCAATACACTACTGTATTTCCAACAACCCTGACACTAACCTCAGATTCTAATCCTAACCCTAAATTCTAACCCCACACCTGATATGAAAAATGTTACTTACCATAATGGGTCTCTATTGGTCCCTAAAGGGCTATGTGCCACAATGACAATGTCATGACTTTGACAAAATTTCAAGAGCTTTGTCTGGGTGAAGTATGGATGACACTCAACCTGTGTGGATGAAGTATAAAGCTGAATGAATAATTAAAACCTAGAATATTGAAGTAATAGATATTCTACATTGGCAGAAAAGATAAGAAGATACTGTTGACCATACTGATAATCTAAATGGCTCCTGAGGCAATTGCTGGCTATCTTCCCTTTACCTTTTCCCAACATTCTTTACATTCTGCGAAGTAGCTAGGGAAAGGAAGCTGTGATACTAGGCTTAGAGAAGACTTGGACTTGAGAACCTTCCCACCTCTTCTCTCCCTGCCCATGGTGGATTCTCACAGATTCCAGTTCACATCTCTTTCTACTAGACCCATAGGTATTGGTTTCTTTCCACCAAAAACATTTTGTTGTTGTTGTAATGCACAGTAGGAAGCTGTACCTGATTGCAGACTGGCTTATACTTGAGTCCTGGTTTATTCAGGATGAGCTCCAGCTGTTTGCGGTTGAAATTAGACACTCCAAGGGACTTCACTAAGCCAGCATCTTTGCATGCTTCCAGAACCTGTGCCAAAAACATCATAGTACCATAGATTTAGATTGGAAGGGGCCTTAGATATCATTTGGTCCAAACCTTTTGTTTTGAGGAACCTGATACCCAAAGACATAGCTATAACCAGTGATTTCTTTACCTGTGGTAAATAGGGGTGGAGGAAAGGGCTGGAAAAATGGTGCTGTTGATTCACCTAGAATACTGCTGAAAACAGCAGAAGTGGTTATGGCAAGAGGATGCCACGGCTGCTATTGCTGCCACAGAGTGTTAGGGGAGGAAATGTTTTTAAGATAGTATTGTTGGCATTCTATGAATTCCCCACTCAGAGGCAAAGCTCCAGATGTATCACCCTAGACTATACTTCTGCCTAAACAGTGGTAGTGACTTGTCCAATATCACAGAAGTAATAGGTAGAAAGGGTAGCTAGGTGGCACAATGAATAGAGTGCTAGATCTGGAGTCAGGAAGACTCATCTTCCCAAATTCAAATCCAATCTCAGATATTTACTAGCTGTATGACCCTGGGCAAGTCACTTAATCCTGTTTATCTCAGTTTTCTCATTTGTAAAATGAGCTGGAGAAGGAAATGGCAAAACACTTTAGTATTTTTGCCAGGAAAACCCCAAAGAGGGTCACGAAGAGTTGGACACTTCTCTTCACCTATCCCAGCTCCTTTTCTCCCTTACCACAGCCTCTAAACCTCACTCTTATTGAATGAAAAGGACCCTAATTGCTGACACCCAGTTTATTTTCCCAAAGAAAGCAAATTAAGAGAAGAAAAGAAAACATTTCCCCTTCTAGGAATTTTATTTTATTTATTTTTAGGCAATTGGGGTTAAGTGACTTGCCCAGGGTCACACAGCTAATAAATGTCAAGTGTTTGGTCTGAGGCCAGATTTGAACTCAGGTCCTTCTGACTTCAGGGCCCGTGCTCTATCCATTATGCCACCTAGCTGCGCCCCCTCTAGGAAATTTAAAAAATGGGAGACACAGAATTTCTTCATAGAAAAATTGAGAGAATAGACTTTGTGGAAGTCTGGGCTCTTTCTTGTAACCAAATAATTTTCTCTCTTGACAGAAACCCCAGGCAGTATTTTAGAAAGCTATTTTAAACCAAATCTTAATTTTTGAAACTTATTTTCAGCAAGATGATAGGAAGAGTATTTCAATACAAGTCAGCTCTTTAAAGTCTATGATAACTGTATTTTCAGGATAATTCACAAAGAAGTCACCTAATTATTAAAATAAAACAGAGAAAAGGCCTTGTGATAGAAATCAGAGCAACTCTAGCCTGATGGTACCAGATATCTTAGCAATGGCCTTGAAGCAGAAATTCCGTTCCTTCTCCTCCCTTTTGTCCATGGACAGTCATTAACATTCATTGAATCACTGCTCCATCTTCACTTTTCCTGACCTGAACTAAAGAAAACATGCTGTAACCATTCCTCCTCTCTTTCTCTCTCTCTCTTTCTCAAAAAAAAAAAAAGGAAAGCAAGTATTTAGCATTTTTGTTCTACTATACAACCTCTAGAGTGGTTGAGATAGATGTTCACTGAGGAGAGCAAACAAATGAGACTACTTTGGCCAAGTAATGTGTGTGTGTGTGTGTGTGTGTGTGTGTGTGTGTGTGTGTGCGCATGCGCATGCATGTGTGCACATGTGCACATGTGCTTGCACTTTACCACTTTGTAGCCTCCCAGCTTCAAGTCTGAGGTCTTTCTAGAATTTATTTTTTTTTAAAAAGACTCTAACCCTCTTTTCCCTAAACATCTTTAATAATATTTTATTTTTCCCCAGTTACATGTCAAGAAAACTTTTAGCATTAATTTTTACAAGGTTTTGAGTTCTAAATTTTTCTCCCTCCTTCCCTCCCCTCCCCTCTTCTGTAAATTGTGGGCAGTTTAATGTAGTTTATACATGAGGTATCATGTAAAAATATTTCCATAATAGTCACAGTTGTGAGAGAAGAAACAGATAAAAAGGGGAAAAAACGTGAGAAAGAATAAAGTGAGTGGAAAAAAATACTCTTTCATCTGTATTCAGAGTCCATCAGTTCTTTATCTAGATATGTATAACATTTTCCTTTGTGAGTCCTTTGTACTTGTCTTGGATCATTGTGTTGCTGAGAAGAGCTGAGTTATTCATAGTTGATCATCACACAGTGCTGCTGATACTGTATACAATGTTTTCCTGGTTCTGCACATTTTACTTTGCATCAGTTTGTACAAGTCTTTCCAGGTTTTACTCCAATTTGTCTGTTCGCCATTTCTTATTGCACAATAGTATTCCATTACATTCATATACCACAGCTTATTTAGCCACTCCTCAATTGATGGGCATCCCCTCAATTTCCAATATTTTGCCACTGCAAAAAGAGCTATTATAAATATTTTTGCATGTGTAGGTCCTTTTCTCTTTTTCGTGATTTCTTTGGGATACAGACCTAGCAGTGGTATTGCTGGATCAAAGGGTATGCACAGTTTCATAGCCCTTTGGCGTATTTCCAAATTGCTGTCCAGAATGGTTGGATTAATTCACAACTCCACCAACAGTGCATTAGTTTCCCAATTTTCTCACATCTCCAGAATTTTTCATTTTCCTTTTTTGTCATATTAGCCAAACTGATAGGTGTGAAGTGGTACCACAGAGTTGTTTTAATTTGCATTTTTAATCAAAAGTGATTTAGAGCACTTCTTCATATGCTTATAGATAGTTTTGATTTCTTCATCTGAAAACTGCCTGTTCATATCCTTTGACCATTTATCAATTGAGGAGTGGCTTGCATTCTTGTAAATATGACTTAGTTCTCTGTATATCTGAGAAATGAGGCCTTTATCAGAGATAATTGCCATAAAGATTATTTCCCATCTTTTTGCTTTCCTTCTAATCTTGGTTGCATTGGTTTTGTTTGTACAAAAGCCTTTTAATTTAATACAATCAAAATTATCTATTTTATATTTTGTAATCCTCTCTATCTCTTGTTTGGTCATGAATTTTTCCCCTCCCCATAGATATGACAGGTAGACTATTCCTTGCTCTTCTAATATGCTTATGGTGTCACCCTTTATGTCTAAATCATGCCAAAGGTCTGTCATAACTAACTTTTTCTAATATTCTATTTACCTCCTTAGTTTCTTTCTTGTTTATTTTTTGGTTGGATTTATCGAGTTCTGAACGGGGACAATCGAGGTCCCCCACTAGTATAGTTTCATTGTCTATTTTTTCCTGTAACTCACTTAACTTCTCCTTTATGAATTTGGATGCTAGACCATTTGGTACATATATATTTAGTATTAATATTGCTTCACGTCTGCGGTACCTTTTAGTAAGATGTAGTTTCCTTCCTTATTACTTTTAGTTAGGTCCATTTTTGCTTTTGCTTTGTCTGAGATCAGGATTGCTACCCCTGATTTTTTTTACTTCAGTTGAAGCATAATAGATTCTGGCTCCAGTCTCTTTCCTTTACTCTGTGTGTGTCTCTCTGCTTCAAGTGTGTTTCTTGTAAACAACATGTAGGATTCTGGTTTTTGATCCACTCTGCTATCTGCTTCTGTTTTATGGGAGAGTTCATCCCCTTCACTTTACAGTCATTATTACTACCTGTGTATTTCCCTCCATCCTATTCTTCCCTCTGTTTGAACTCTCCTTTCACCCTCTTCCTCCTCACCAGTGTTTTGCTTCTGTCTACCACCTCCCCTTATCTGCCCTCCCTTCTGTCAGTCCCCATCCCCCTTTACTTGACCTCCTCCCTTCCAACTTCCCTGTCAGGTAAGATAGATTTCTATCTTCAAATGATTGTGTATATGATTCCTTCTTTGAGCCAATACCGATGAGAGTAATGTTCAAGCAATGCTCGTCACCCACCTTCTCATCTTCCCCTTCCCTGTAATAGGTCTTTTGCACTTCTTCATGTGAAATAATTCACCCCATTCTACCTCTCCCTTCCTTCTGGACCTATTGTACTCCTCTTTATCATCCCTTAATTTTTTTTATGGCATTCTCTCAAGTTTACCTTATACCCATAATGTCTGTCTATGTATATTCCTTCTAGCTATACTATTAGTGATACAGTTTTTAAGAATTAGAAGTATCATCTTCTTGTGTAGGGATGTAAATAATTCAGCTCTGTTGAATCACTTATGATTTCTTTTCCCTTTTTACCTGTTTGTGCTTCTCTTGGGTCTTGATATTGGAAGTCAAATTTTTGGTTTAATTCTGGTCTTCTTATGAAAGCTTGAAATCCTCCTATTTCATTGAACGATCATTTTTTTCCCTGGGTGTATTATACTTAACTTTGCTTGGGAGGTGACTCTTGGTTGCAGTCCTAGCTCCTTTGTCTTTTGGAATATCATGTTCCATGACATCTGATCCTTTAATGTTGCAGTTGCTGAGTACTGTGTAATCCTGACTGTGATTCCCTGATAACTGAATTGTTTCTTTCTGGACACTTTTAGTAATTTGTCCTTGACCTGATAGTTCTGAAAGTTCGCTATAATGTTTTTTGGAATTTTAATTTGGGGATCTCTTTCCTGAGGTGTTTGGTGGATTCTTTCAATGCCTATTTTGTTTTCTGGTTCCAGGATATCAGGGCAGTTTTCCTCCATAATTTCTTGAAAGATGCTGTCCAGGTCCTCCTTTTGATTATGGCTTTCAGATAATCTAATGATTCTGATATTGTCTCTCCTGGATCTATTTTCCAGGTCAATTGTTTTTCCCATGAGGTATTTTACATTTTCTTCCATTTTTTCATTCTTTTCAATTTGATCAATTGATTCTTGATGTCTCATAAAGTCATTTACTTCCACTTGCCCAACTCTAACTTTTAAGGTATTGTTTTCCTCAATTAGCTGTTGTACTTTCTTTTATATTTGGCCAATTTTACTTTTTAAGCAGTTTTCCAAGCTGTTGATTCTTTTTCATAATTCTCTTGTATCACTCTCATTTCTTTTCCCATTTTTTCTTCTACCTCTCTTATATGATTCTTAAGCTCCTTTTTGAGCTCTTCCATGAGTTCTTTCTGGGCTTGAGACCACTTGCCATTTTTGTTTGGGGTTTTGCCTGTAGGTTTTGACATTGTTTTCCTCTTCTGAGTTTGTGTTTTGTCTTCCCTGTCACCATAATAACTTTCTATGGTCAGATTCTTTTTTTGTTCTTCTTTGCTTTTTTTCCTTTTTTATTTTAGATTTGAGCTCTGTACTCAGGGTGGAAGGGGCACTGTCTCAGGCTTCTTGTGCCAATGGCTGCAGGCCCTGGCTGTTTACTTGGTGTTGTGCTGATGTTTCCCTGAGGTCTCTAGGGAACCCTTGTGTCTGGTGCTGGGCTGAGGGTGGGGTGGGGTTGGGGGTGGCTGGTCCTGTTGGAGGATGTACGAGTCTGGCAGCTTACCTGGTGCTGAGCTGGGGTCCCAGTGGTGGTGTCTAGTGTGTGCTAAGGGATGGCGGAGTGTTTCTGCATTTCCGTGAGACTATACTGAAGCACATGGATGTCTGGCCACTGAAGGTTGCCTGTTTGCTCTGGGCTATGCTCCCTGAACATCTTTCAACATTTCACTTGTGCTTTTTCCCTTCAATTCTGGGCCACCTATGTCAATACCTCTGCAAGTCAGTCTGTTTCATTCAAATTAATGTCTCCTAGACCCTTTGCATTTTGGGAAGAAGGCCAAAGTGAAAAATCAAAGTACAAGCAAAGTACATAAAAGCCTGTTTACACAGAGCAAACAGGTATTAAAAATCCCCCATAGTACTTGTTCCACACTGCTCTGTCAGTATCAACCAGAGCAAATCCAACACATTTTGCTTCCCACTAATAATCCCCCAAATCCACAGAGAAAAGCAAGAGAGGGTTTTAGGTAATAGGAGAAGTGTTCAGTCTTACCTCCCAGGTGTCACACAGGTTTATGTCATGGGTCAACCATTTACCATTTTCATCCTGAGGATAAAAGGTATTTCCTGGCTGGAGGGGGAGAGAGAAGTTAAACTCTTTATTATTCCCTTCTTGATATAGGAATCAGACAATTTAAATTAATATATCATAAGATTTTAAAGTTGGAAACTGGATAGACTAGGCTTAGAAAAAACTTAACACACCCAAATCAATGTTCTGTCACCTGATCTGTCCTCTCTCTCCAATCTATCAGATCATCTTCCAAGGCAGATCTTCAAAGTTCTGACCTAATCATTCCAACCCTTCCAAACCCCTAAGACACTTACATAGCTCCCTAACGCCTCAAGGAAAAAAATATATGTCTTTACTCCATGACTTCTATTTCCTCTTCCATCCCCTGGCTATCTGGATCCAATCTGTCTTTTTTTTTTTTTTTAAACTGGGCCTGTGATTTCTTTGCTAAAAGACATTCAAGTGAAGAACTCCCTCTAACCAATGCAGGCTGGTACCAGCTCTGCAATTGATAGCCTCACTTGTCTGTAGGCACTAAGTAACTTTCCCAGGCTCATACAACCAGTATTCATTTTAGGCAGTATTTGAATCTGGGTCTTCCTAACTCTCTTCAAGGCTGCCTCTCTCTAATCTATTTTTTCAGTCTTATTTCATATTACTCTCCTTCACATACTCTAAGTTCCAGTCAAAATGGACTGGTTGTTACTCTAACTTAACATGCCATCTCCTATTTCTGTGCAATTGTACATGATATTTCCCACTCCCTCATTATCTCTTTTAGTAGATAACGAGAGAGTTTTGGACAATCCAAGAGGATAGAGTAGGAGGAAGATTTTCAGCCCAGCTACCCCCACATCTACTCCAACAATGATTTAAGAAAGATGCCAGATTGAGAAATCAAAAGAGAAACTACAGTGGGTCATTTTTGTAGCCCAAGATCGCAAATTTGAATCATCTGAAAGTCTTTTCTCATTGAGAGAGAGGAGAGAAGGAGGAGGAGTGAGGGACAGGAAAGAGGAGAAAGATTGGGTGTTATATTTCATGAAATTATGAGAGGAAACTGTCCAGACAAGAGGGCAAAATGAAAACAGAAAGAATCCACCAATTACTTCCTGAAAAAAAAAGATCAAAGTGAAAACTCCTAGGAATGTCATTGCCAAATTCCAGAGCTTCTAGGTCAGAGGAAAAACTGAAAACAGACAAAAAGAAAGAATTAAAATACCAAGGAATCACAGTCAGGATCACACGAGATTTACAACTACCACTCTACAGGGGTGGAGAAGCATGCAATGTGATATATTCCAACAGTCAAAATACATAGACTTACAATCAAGAATAACTTAATTAGAAAAAACTGAGTACAACCCTGCGGGGGGGGGGGGGGGATGGACCTTTAATGAAATAGAGAACTTACAAGTTTTATTGATGAAAAGAGCAGAGTTGAATATTAACTTTGAAATACAAATATGGGAGTAAAGAGAAATATAAAAAGGAAATACAAGTGAGCAATTGGAAAAGATTTGATAAAGATGAAGTATTTGCATTCTAATGGGGATGTGTGTGGTGCAAATTCCCTAAGGGCTATAATGTCATTGAGGATTATAAGGGGAATAAAATCAGATACATGGCCTGGGAAATATTTTTGTCATGTTTTGGTTATTTTAAAAGAAGGAAGGAAAAAAAGATAGACTCTGGAAGAAAAGAAGAGGGATGGGGGTAACATATATAGTCAAGGGTGCAAGTAAATGTCTATACAAAAGTGGAAAGCAAGCATCACTTGAACCTCACTAACCCAAAGTAGGGTACCACCCACACACCCACACACACCTTGGTGTAGAAGTAACTTCAACTCAGGGCAGCTAGGTGGTGCACTGGATAAAGCACCAGCCCTAGTCAGGAGGATCTGAGTTCAAATCTGGCCTCAGATTTGACATTTACTAGCTGTGTGACATTCTGCGAGTCACTTAACTCCTATTGCCTCGCCAAAAAAAAAAAAAAAAAAAAAAACAAACCAAAAAAGCAAATTCAACTCAACATTGAGATAAAAGGGAGATGGGAAAAAGTAAATAAGGAGGATAGATTCAATAGGAGATTAGTCATTGGAACAAATAACTCCTAAGCATGGAGAAGGGAAACACAAAGAGAGATTTAAAACAGAAAAAAAAGAAAGAGTAAAAATCCATTCCATATGACAGTCAAAAGAGAAAAAGAAAACTATAGACCAAAATATCTCTAATGAACATAGATGAAAAAATTTTAAATAACATATTAGCAAAGAGTCTGAAACAATGTATCACAAAGATTACATGCTACGACCAAGTTGGATTTATTTAAGGAATACAGGATTTTTTTTTCCATTTCTTAATACTGTTGCTTTATTTTTTAAAAAATTATTTATTTTTAGTTTTCAACATTCACTTCCATAAGATTTGAGTTTTACATTTTCTCCCCCTCCTCCTTTTCCCCCTCCCCAAGATGGTATGAAATTTGATATAGGCTCTACATATACATTCATATTAAACGTATTTTCACATTAGTCATGTTGTAAAGAAGAATTAGAACCAATGGGAGAAACCACAAGAAAGAAGAAACAAAACAAAACAAAAGAGAGCAAATAATGTGCTTTCATCTGCATTCAGATTTCAAAGTTCTTTCTCTGGATGTGGATAGCATTTTCCATCATGAGTCTTTTGGAGTTTTCTTAGATTCTTTCATTGCTGAGAAGAGCTAAGTCTATCAAAGTTAGTCATTGCACTATGTGGTTGTTGCTGTGTACAATGTTCTCCTGGTTCTTCTCACTTCACTTGGCATAAGTCCATACAAGTCTTTCCAGGTTTTTCTGAAGTCTGCTTGCTCATTATTTCTTCTAGCACAATAGCATGTTTATTACATTCATATACCACAACTTGTTCAGTCATTCCCCAATTGATGGGCATCCCCTCAATTTCCAATTCTTTGCCACCACAAAAAGAGCTGCTATAAATATTTTTGTACACGTGGGTCCTTTTCCCATTTTTATGATCTCTTCGGGATACAGTCCTAGAAGTGCTATTGCTAGATCAAAGGGTATGCACAGTTTTATAACCCTTTGGGTGTAGTTCCAAATTGTTTTCCAGAATGGTTGGATCAGTTCATAACTCCACCAACAATGTGTTAGTGTTCCAATTCTCCCACATCTTCTCCAACATTTATCATTTTCCTGTTTTGTCATGTTGATTAATCTGATAGGTGTGATGTGGTACCTCAGAGTTGTTTTGATTTTCATTTCTCTAATCAATAGTGATTTAGAGCATTTTTTTCATATGACTATAGATAGCTTTGATTTCTTCATTTGAAAACTGCCTGTTCATATCCTTTGACCATTTATCAATTGAGGAATGACTTATATTCTTATAAATTTGACTCAGTTCTCTACATATTTTAGAAATGAGGCTTTTATCAGAGATACTGGGTGTAAAAATTGTTTCCCAGTTTTCTGCTTCTCTTCTAATCTTGGTTGCATTGGGTTTGTTTATGCTAAAACTTTTCAATTTAGTGTAATCAAAATCATCCATTTTGCATTTCATAATGTTCTCTATCTCTTGTTTGGTCATAAATTCTTCCCTTCTCCATAAATCTGACAGGTAAACTATTCCTTGATCTCCTAGTTTGCTTATAGTATCAACCTTTATATCTAAATCATCTACCCATTTTGACTTTATCTTGGTATACAGTATAAGATGTTCTACGCCCAGTTTCTGCCATATTGTTTTCCAATTTTCCCAGCAGTTTTTGTTAAATAGTGAGTTCTTATCCCAGAAGCTTGAATCTTTGGGTTTATCAAACAGTAGATTACTATAGTCATTGACTATTGTGCCTTTTGTACCTAACCTATTCCACTGATCCACCACTCTATTTCTTAGCCAGTACCAAGTAGTTTTGATGATTGCTGCTTTGTAACACAATTTAACATCTGGTACAGCTAGGCCACCTTCCCTTGCATTTGTTTTCATTAATTCCCTTGATATTCTGGACTTTTTTTTCTTCCAGATGAATTTTGTTACTATTTTTTCTAGCTCTATAAAATAATTTTTTGGTAATTTGATTGGTATGGCACTGAATAAGTAAATTAACTTAGGTAGAATTGTCATTTTTATTATATTAGCTCAGCCTACCTTATATTTTTCCAATAATTTAGATCTGACTTTGTGTGAAAAGTGTTTTGTAATTGTGTTCATATAGTTGCTGAGTTTGTTTTGGCAGGTAAACTCTCGAATATTTTATAATAGCTACAGTAACTTTAAATGTAATTTCTCTTTCTATCTCTTGCTGTTGGGCTTTGTTAATATATAGAAATGATGATTTATGTGCGTTGATTTTATATCCTATAACTTTTTTGAATTTGTATATTATTTCAAGTAGTTTTTTACTTGATACTGTAGGATTCTCTAAGTATTCCATCATATCATCTGTGAAGAGTGATAGCTTTGTTTCTTCTTTGCCTATTTTAAGACCTTTGATTTCTTTTTCTTCTCTTATTGCTAAAGCTAACATTTCTAGTACAATCTTGAATAAGAGGGGTGATAATGGACATACTTATTTCACGTCTGATAGTATTGGAAATGTTTCTAACTTATTCTCATTATATATAATAATTGCTGATGGTTTTCAATATTTACTACTTACCATTTTAAGGAAGACTACATTTATTTTTATGCTCTCTAGTGTTTTTAACAGAAATGGGTATTGTATTTTGTCAAAAGCTTTTCCTGCATCTATTGAGGTAATCATATGATTTTGTTAGTTTTGTGTTGATATGGTCAATTATGCTGCTAGTTTTTCTAATATTGAACCAGTCCTGCATTCCTGGTATAAATCCTATCTGGTCATAGTGTATTATCCTTGAGATAAGTTGCTGTAGTCTCTTTGCTAACATTTTATTTAAAACTTTAGCATCTATATTCATTAGGGAAATTGGTCTATACTTTTCTTTGTTTTGGCTTTTTCCGGGTTAGGTATCAGCACCATATTTGTATCATAAAAAGAATTTGGTAGGACTCTTTTTTCACTTATGTCCT